CCAAAATTTTTAATATATATATTAATTAAAACATTAAGCCTAACCTAAATTGAAACTAAACCCATAGCCGCAACTCTCTATTACTTTCCCCATCACAGCGCCATTGGAACCCAATCCCCAGTTCATTGGCGTTATACTCACGTCGGTTGCCACCAGAGGTAACGGATTGTCTCACAACCGAACCTACGTCGACCCCGTCTTACTCTTTCTCTCGTCTAACCTCTAAAACGACTCTTAAGCCACCATGAAAGACTCTTAGTCCTCAAGACCCTCTGCTCCCTTTCAAATGTAGCCTCTAAATCAACCCTCTTCTGGCCTTACAATCCGTCAATAAACTCAAAGATTCTTCAAACCCAAACAACCCAAACCTATAAGAGCGTTACCTTCGATTGTTGAAGACATTTACTTCCTCCGATGAAGGCACAAAGGCTGTTATCGCATAAGAGGTAAGGTTTCCTTTGGATTTTCCCTTTTTTCCTTTATATTTTCTCATGTGTTTTGATGGATTTTTTTTATTTTGGGTTCTCTCATTTTTCATGTCCATTGTTCTTGTTCCATGTCGTGAATCATGAGACCCTTGTAACTCCGGAGAGATCAGATGACTCTCAGGTAATGAATCAAAAGCTTTCTTTTTCTTGTTGGATCGTTAATCAAAAGAAATAAAAATAATATGTTGCTTCTAAATGAAATGGGAAAATTGAATATAAGAAATGATGAGACCTTGTTTACTACTTTCAAATGAGAGAGAATCCTCTTGTTACATTGCTTGATGCCTGAATACATGGAGAAAGAACTCTTTTTTTCATTTTTCTGTTTCGAATTTAATAGAAGAAGACCCCGTTACAATAAATTCCCCTGTTAGAATGGTTACCTCGTTGTTTGATGAAAATTTCCTGCTCCAATTGTCCCCTTTCCTCTCTCCCTTTTTTATGATAATTCCCCTCTGATTTTATCTCCATTTTCTTCACCGAATCCCTTGCCCTTTGCATGTTCATTTTCTCTACATTTGGTGAGATTTTGATAGGTTTAGATATTGACTTTGATGACATTTTCGGTGTTTATTATGTTTGTTGACTTTGGAGATATTTGGCTATGGATTTGTTGCAGGTTTCATGTGATATGCTGAAGATGGCAATTTGTGATGTTCATGGTCGGGTCTGTGCTGAACACGGGTCTGGATCTGGGTCTTGGGCTTGAACTAGGTTGTAACTTGTAATGGGTCTCAAAGCCTGCAAATGTAAAATATAATAATTAATAATAATAATAATATTTATAACCCGGACAAAAACGGGTGTCTACATATTTCGTATTCAAGGTAGGTTGGGGTGTTGCTCTTATATGCACGTAAATTCCTCTGACCACATCACCAAACCTATCCCATGTCCATTTGTGTCAGTTATGCATGTATAGTCACATCAGTTCAATATGTCAGATATGTTAAAGCTTGGCTTGAAGGCTATGTAAGACCAAGCCAATGCTTCAAATTCTGCGGGAATTGTATCGATGTTATATGTCACCGGGTTCCTCTTAGTGATCTACCTGATAGCTATGTAAGGACCATGAGATCATTCAGTATGTTTGTGAGAATTATACTGATGTTATATGACACAGAGGTTCCCTCAATAACTAGTGTCTAAAGGCTATGTGAGACCAAATACTAGTCAGAATTGCATTCAGATAATGTACAATATGTCAGGTTTGGATTCAGATGATGCACGTGAGTATCAGTGTGGAATTTAGATAAAGCGTAGCATGTTCAGTCATTAGGGTTAGAGACTCTTCAGTAGACTCTTCAGTGGTGTACTCATGGCGAGACTCTTAGTAGAGAACTAAAGGAACCGTGAGACTCCTACTTCAGTGATAGAGTAGAAAAGCATTAAATAGGCAGCACTTGATCTAGGTCATGCTTGCACCTATTGCTTAGTACCATATCTTCAGCATGCTTCTGTTTATGAAATTCTTATGCTACTATAGATTAGCGATTATACTGATGGGTTTTGTAAGCTCAACATTTGGATGTTTTTTCTCTACAGATCAGTAACTTGAGCTGTTCGTATAGCACCATCATAGCAAGACTTTCAGCATCTCCGAAAGAGTATTTTATTGTTGCTTTAGTGGCCATGTGTATTCATAGAACCTTACTCATGTATTTAGTTTTTTAAACTCAGTGTTATTTTATTTTGGTTTTAAATTATGTGTCACAGAGCTTCGGTTTTTAAAATATTTTTATAAAAATTATTTATGTTTTATTATGATACAATCAATATGTTTAAAAATAAAATAAATAGGTTTTGAAAATCAGGGGTTGCATTGGTGGCCCAATTTAGGGTGTTACACAACACTTGTCAAACCAGATAAGCAAGAAGACTTTCTAACTATGGACATCCCCATATGGATCCTAGTTAACCTAAAATAATCAAACATCTTAGTTACCGACCATCACAACTGGGACCTTCTATTTGGAGCGGTCTTTTGGAACCTGTGGCACTTAAGAAATGCTATAGCCTTCAACTCCCCTTTAGAGGACAATGGCACAGTCCTTGAAAGAAGCAGTAAACTACAAGCCATGAGCATTCAAGCGTTGCATTCAAAAACCTCCTTTCAAGACCAGTCCAAAGTGACGAATAATAACAACTTGAATAGGGAACAAGATCAATGGAAGAAACCCCTACTGGTTGGATTAAAGTAAACTCAGATGCATGTTGGAGTCTATCTCAAGGAAAAGCGAAATGTAGAGGTGTATTAAGAGACCATAGTGGCAAATAGATATTAGGATACTACAAATTTATTGGAGTCTGCTCGATAACTGAGACGGAACAGTGAAGAGCCTACTTGGGAATGCAAACTGCATGGGAAGCTGGTACCAAAAAATTAATAGTGAAAACAGACAGCCTAGACACTATTCGACTCATAAAGAACAAATCTTCAGACAAGAGAAACCTTATCATTCTTCAACATATTTGGGAGCTAAAGAAGAAAAGATGGGACATCTAATACTACCATGTACAACGTAAAAATAATCGAGTAGCCGACATGTTGGCCAAGATGACTAAATCCACTGACTTCGAGGTGCATCTCCTCCAGAACCCACCTCCTGTTATAAACTTGATCCTCTAAGAAGGATACATATAAGAGCTTAGGCTTAAACTCTATTTTACTTACAAAAAAACATTATAGAATATTCATGTAATTTCAATTCTTATTTTTTGAACTTATCTAGTTACTTCAATGGTTAAAGAGAATATTGTACATCATAAAAGTCATAAATTCAAACAATTATGTTCGTAGATAGTGTGTTGTCAATAATTAAAAGGGAATATTAGCATATATCGCATTATAATCACTCATACTATTAAAAAAACATATTTACTCCTTTTACAATTTAGTCTCTGAACTTTGTATTTTATTCAATTCAACTTTTTTGTAACTTTTTTACAAACAAATATTTACCCCTATCAACTCCGTAATTCATTTATACTTTCATCAAACACTTTCTCTCGAATATCTTCTTTAAAATAATAAAATTGTAATTATATTTTATAATTTTAGATGATTTTTAATTTATTAAATAATATTATAATATAAAAATATAAAGATATATGTATATATGTATGTAATGATTAGAGAAAGTCGTTAACTTCGATCAATTGATACTATAATATTTACTCAATCTTAGAAGTTGTGTCTCCATTTCCTTAAACTAGTTTTCTCTCCAAAAATTTTTGTATCACCTTCCATTTTTTATTTTTGTTTAGTCGGCGGTGACATTTAATTTAATGTTGATTGTCGTCCGTCAGTGATTATTAGTTCTTTTATTTTTTTACACTATGTCTTTTTTCTTGAGGTTTTTTTTTAATAAGAATATCTATCATTGAGATACATTTTTTATGCCTTTTTGATACGTTTTTCTATACTATCGAGGCACAATTCTTATAGCTTTTGGTACGTTTTTTTTGTATATCTCTGTGATCGTTTTTTGTGCTTGCACAAAAACCATCACAATATTTATTTTCTAATTGGTTTGTCAGTGGTCAGATATAGTTCAATTTCCTCTTTGGTGAAATATTATTTACTGATATAATTAGAATTGTAGAGCGAAACAGCATGTTAAATAGTTTTTATGAATGTTATTTTCTTAATGACTTCTTTTAATGTTGGTTGTCATTCTCAATAAAATATTTCATTTTTATTAGTTTCTTTGAGTTTAATATTTTTATTTTTATATGATTTTTTTACTATTGTCTTCAATTTTCTTTTTATGTTTGGATAAGTTGTAATTATGATTCATTTTATTATTCTGATTAATAAAATCCAATTATCATCATTAAAAAATAAAAACAATTTAAATTTCATAAACTTCACTCATCTCAAAAAAAATTAAATTTTAAGATAAAATTCATCAAGATTAATTTAAATTTTCTTATTTAATTCAATTGTATCAATAATCACTTTTAATTATAATATAATAATTTTTTTCTTCTATGTCGGCAAGGTATTAAATTGATAATTCCAATGCTTCCCAATATCACATCAGGGTGGTCGTTTTTGTTTTGCTCTTTTCCGGAAAACAAGTGGCCTCTAGGTACAGAAAAGCCATTTCTTGGCAAAGTAATTCAGCCCTATACTAGAATCTACAAATGTGTTGAACAAAAGGTCTAATTTCGCCATAAGTTCTTGTATGCTTTGCACAATTAAAATTGAATCCTTCTACTTTTAGTGTCAATAATTTAATCCCTTGACTTGACTGATTTCCTTACATTGGATTACAAGGCATTCTTAAAAGAAAATTCTCATGAAACTTACTTAAAGTCATGTGAAAGCCGTGCAATCAATCAATATTTTTATTTACTTATTTAGTCCTTCCATGTTTGTAATATGAACAAAGTGGGTGATTTAAAGGAAATAAAACCAATTAAACAAAATTGGACTTTAATTATTAATCAAAATAAAAGAGAAGCAAATTGTTGCCGTTACCCACATATTCGAACTAAGCTCATATTAGAACTTCACGGCCATAATCCGATAAAATATTCAAGGAAACCTCAATTAAAGGTACCCAACAAGCGCCATTCCTACTCTAAACAAAGATCACAACTTCAAAAAAACAAACCCTAGAGAGTTCCAACAAACATATACACTGACCAGATGTTCTAGGCATATTAAACAAAGCCTACACATAACACAGAAGACGCATGACAAGCGGATAAAAGGTACTGGAAAATAAACATCTAGTTGAAATCAGGCATTACTATTCTTTGGTGATTTTGTTGATGAGGGATTTGTGAATGTGAGGGATCACACCACCACCAGCAATGGTGCCCTTGATGAGAGTGTCAAGCTCTTCATCCCCCCTAATAGCCAGCTGCAGATGCCTTGGGGTGATTCTTTTCACTTTCAGATCCTTGCTTGCATTTCCGGCCAACTCGAGAACCTCAGCCGTCAGGTACTCGAGGATAGAGGCCAGGTAAACAGCGGCTGTGGCACCAACTCTGCCATTTGCGGAAGCCCGAGATTTGAGTTGACGGTGGATACGACCCACGGGGAACTAGTATCAGGAAACAATAAAGCTTATAAGGGGGCTAGCTACTACTAGGAATCATACCCCAAATACCAGGTGGGAAAAAAACTTTTGCTATGGTCTTATTGGAGAAACAACAAATACTACAATTATATAAATAGAATTAACCAAGTACATGTAACCACAGTAAATTTGTTTGATTCATGGCATAGAAACAATATGATCTAGTTAAAGATGAAAAATGACACTATAGGCGTAGATACTTAGCTGACTGAAACGCATCAAGTGCAAGGTTTATCTTGGTACTTGAAAATGCAATAAAGAAATTCGTGAGGAAAGTAGAAATGAAACACAATGGACAGAACTAGAAACTTAAATGCTCAAACCCAACCAGCCTCGAAATTTCAATAAACTGGGCTTCTTTTCCACAAGGCTAAACCAAGAACTACAAATCATTGAAAAGTCATATACCAAAAGAAGAATGAAAGTTTCATAATTCAGAACACTCCTAAACCTACTAAATATGTACAAAAATGTGAAAGTAGGAAGGAAAAAGGTCGCTCTGGGTTGTAACATGGAAGAACAGTACAGAAAACATGCTGAATAGCTTTGGAATGAGAGGAAAGTTCAGTACTCAATTAAGTCAACTCCAGAATTTTCAAAGAAATCATTCAGGACTCAAATTTGATCCTTTAACGAATAATATGAAGAACCAGGTGTTTTGACATCTGAGTGATGCACAACTTGCAAATGTCTCAATCATCAACCACGAGTTTTTTTTTAAAAAAAAAACTTTAAATGTTCTCTCTCTTATGCTTATAATACCTAAATTTGGAAAGACGAATTATTTCATATTATTTTCAATAAAAAAGTTCAAAGATCTACAATTATCAAACCGACAAAAACGAACACAAAGCATGCATTCTCGATTTGCTCCATTTCTTTGTTTTATAGTTCCTGAACGATGCTACTTCTTGGTGTAAAACCAAATAAATGGTAGTAAATGTAGAGAATAAAAACCTGAATTCCGGCGCGAGATGAACGAGAAACCGGTCGCTTCTTATCTTTATCCTTGTTAGATGCGGTTGTTTTCGCCGCCAAAAGCCCCTTTCCACCTTTTCCTGCCATCTTCGTTCTCCTTAAAAAAACACACACACATTCAAGCTTCAATTCATACAGAAAACCAAAAGGAAATAAAAATAACACTAAAACAACATTACCATAACTCAGATCTGCTAAATAGTAATCAGATCTAGTCAAAGAAATTCTCAGAACCTTATAAATTTGAACCGATAAAATATGATAACGTAGTAGAGGAAATAAAAAGGTGATGGGAAGAGATACCTGAGACACCGAAAGGAATTGGAAGCCTGAAGGTGAAGAAATGGTAGAAGTACGAAACAACAGGGATAAGATTTATGGGTTTATAATTACCTTGAGATTTGGTTGTCATTTTAAATGCCGGAAAATGAAATGGCGGTTAATTTTAGGTGGGAAAATACATCGATTTCGACATTTCAAAATTTTCGATGGATTTTCAACTTTAATTATTTACTCATGGGTTGGGCCAAACGCGTTGGTTGGATTTAGACCTATCTCTTTTTTATTAGTAGTAGTGATTGTTAAACCATGTGATTGTAGGAAATTTCAAATAAATCGTTGCATAATATAGGAAACTCTTCTAACAACTTTCGGAGTGGTAGATTTTTTTTATTTTATACAACGGTTAAATTCTATTTTCCGATCCCCGATCTAATCCAACTATGAGGCTTTCGTTGAAGGACGACTCCCCAGTTCCATCTTATCTCAGGTTTCATCCATCTATCTCTTCTAGGCTTTTTCTTATTTTGTCACGGCCGTTCCTCCACCGGTATTTTCCCCTCTTTTACCTTTTTCTTGTTTTTAAGTTTCTGTTATCCCAAATAAGGCAGTCATCTGGTTTTTTTGTTCTGGTCGAATCTGACGCTGCCTATTCTTCATAGATCTGATTCTATCGTGTTCTTGCTTGTGATATTTTTGGTTGATTTTATTAATTTAGGGTTGTGTTTTATATTTTTGAAAAAGAACCTAAATTTTATCATCTAGTTGAAAGAAAAAGAAAAAACAAAACTATAGAGAAGTTGAAGTTAGATATACTCGGAGTATAAATGTTCAAGTCAAAAAGTATCTGCTAAAAAGTTTAAGCATTGTTCAGCCTTTCTTTTTATATATATCCCAACAATTTCAGTTGTTTTTCCCCTTACTATTTTTGTTAGCGTTTGATAGTTAACTCGGGTTCTTGGTTTTGAATAATATGATTCTATGTTATTCTAGTGAGATCTGCCTGTTAAAGTTAGCATTTGATTGATTTCTTTTGCCTTATATTTTTAGTCTTGTTTATAGTAGCTAGAAATTTATTAAATCAAATCTGTTGATGTTTTAAAAGTTATAGATCTTGGGTGTTAAATAAGTTAAATCTGTTTGTCATGTTCGGATTCGGATACAAAGATAAAAATGACCTTTGTATCTTACGTTTACATTTTTAAGTAAGATATAAATCCAATCTTTGGTTTCTAGTTGTTGGCCTAAAGTTAAGTAAGATAGTGTTAATTTGTCTTAAAATCCTATTAAGTAACCAACTAGGCTTCTTAGTACCCCTCAATTCTCTAGCGTTTTATTGGTGCATCTTCTGTCTTCTTTGGATTCCTTTTTCATAGTTCCTCATAGCTTCGACTATAGATGATTACTTAAGGTCATGTCCTTCTTTTAGATCCCATAGGGCGTATAGGGGGAGGGCTCGACAGAGTGGTGTCAAGGAGACTAGACTTAGAGTTTGTTCGTTGAATGTAGGCACATTAAATGCTAGGTTGTTGGAGCTGACCGACGTACTTAGTAATAGGAAAATAGATTTTGCATGTATTCAGGAGACTAGGTGGAAAGGGGCTCGTGCCAGAGAGTGTAATGGGTACAAGTTGTGGTATTCAGGCGTAGATAACGCTAGAAATGGGGTGGGTATCTTGGTATCCTCTAGGCTTAAGGAAAATGTAGTTGAAGTTTGTAGATATTGAGATGGGATCATGATGATTAAGGTTATTATAGAAGCGGAAGTGGTGAATATCCTTTCAGTGTACGGCCCACACGTTGGCCTAGGGGAGGGGGAAAATGTTGCTTTTGGGATCAGTTAGATTATGTACTTAGGAGCATTCTGGAGGACCAAAGAGTTTTCATAGGGGGAGACTTCAATGGCCATATAGGTAGTGCAACCGATAGGTATGACGGTGTTCATGGGGGTTTCGGTTTTAGTAGTAGGAACGAGGAGGGGCGTACGTTGCTTGAATTTGCTACTGCACATGGTATGGTGGTCACTAACTCCTTCTTTAACAAGAGAGATGTGAACTTGATTACGTTTCATAGCGGGGGACATTGTACTCAAATCGACTACATCCTGGATCGAAATCGGGATCGATGGGCTTGCATTGACTGTAAGGTGTTCCCTGAAGAGGCATGTACATCACAACACAGATTGTTGGCTTTGGTGTTCCGCATACGCCACGGGCGGATCACTCATAGGAGGGCTAAACTTGGTAAACCTAGGATCCTTTTGAAGAACTTACATGGAGCGATAACTGATGACTTTAGGAGTAAGGTTTTGTCTAATACAAGTTTTGGAACTACAAACGCAAATAATGCATATATGTTATGGAAAAATATGGCAAATTCCATCAGAGAGGTGGGAAAAAACACCCTTGGGTTGTCGACAGGGAAGGTCAAGGAACATAAAGAATCGTGGTGGTGGAACGACGAAGTCCAAACTAAGGTGAAGACAAAGCAAACTTGCTTCAAGGAGTTTCTACAATGCAATGACGACGAAGAAAGATCGAGAGCTAAACAAAGATACAAGGAGGCGAAGCAGGAAACCAAGAAAGCAGTGGCTAAAGCAAAGGATAAGGCATACGAGGAAATGCACAAGAGATTAGACACCAAGGAATGACAAAATGGCATCTTCAGGCTTGCAAAAACCAGGGAAAATAGAAAAAAGGATCTAGGTAGCATTAGGTTTATTAAAGTCATCAATGGTGTTCTTTTATTGAAAGATCATGATATCAAGAGGGTTTGGGGTAGTTACTTCTTTGGCTTATTTAATAACGGTTCCTCCCCCTATAGAGATAGTTTTGTTGATGGGTCAGCCGACCATCATACTACGGCCAACGACTGCCCTACAAGTAGGATTGGGTTTGAGGAAGTCAAAATGGCTCTTAGAAAGATGGGGAGGGACAAAGTTATCAGTCCAGATCAAATTCCTATCACTGTATGGTTGGCCCTAGGAGAAGAGGGAGTAAAGTGGTTGACCAATACCTTCAATATTATTTTAGAGACTGCCAAGATACCAGAGGAGTGAATAGAGTCTACGGTGATACCAATCTATAAGAATAAAGGAGATCTCCAATGTTTTGGCAACTACAGAGGTATTAAACTACTCAACCATACCATGAAGCTATGGGAAAGGGAGATAGAGGCTAGGTTGAGACAGGTTACTAGGGTTTCGGAAAACCAATTTGGCTTTATGCCAGGCAGGTCTACTACGGAGGCGATTCACCTACTTCGACGGCTTATGGAGAAATATAGGGGAAAAAATAGAGATCTTTACATGGCGTTCATTGACTTTGAGAAGGCGTATGATAGCGTTCCCCGCGATACGATCTGGAAGACCTTGGAAATGAGACGGATCCCAACTGCTTATATCTGGGCGATTCGTGATATGTACTATAGATCTACTACTTACGTCAGGACTACAGTTGGCGACACCGAGGCATTCCCGGTGGAAATCAGACTCCACCAGGGGTCGACTCTTATCCCTTACATCTTCTCCTTGATTATGGACGACATCTTTTGTGCGACACCAGATGGTGTTCCATGGTGTATGCTTTTCGCTGGTGACATTGTCCTAGTTGCTGAAACAAAAACTGAGTTGAATAGTAGACTGACTACCTGGAAGACTGCTTTGGAAGAAAAAAGGTCTAAGGATCAATATTGAAAAGACAGATTATTTATGTTCAAACGTCAGTGGGAACCAAAACAATGAAGATGTAGAAGTATGTATAGAAGGACAGGTTCTCCCCTCAAAGGATTGTTTCAAGTACCTAGGGTCTATGATACATAAAGATGGGGGTGTAGATGATGACGTTACACACCGTATAAAGGCAGGATGGCTAAAGTAGAGGGTTGTTATTGGAGTTTTGTGTGACAAGAATTTGCCTCTAAAATTTAAGGGAAAATTTTATAGAATGGCAATAAGACCAGCGCTGATGTATGGATCAGAATGTTGGGCAATCAAGAAGGATCACATAAGGAGGATGGAGGTCGCAGAAATGAGATTGCTTCGATGGGAATGTGGTAGGACTCTGTGGGACATGACACTAAACTCTGCTATTAGAATGTCCTTGGGGGTGGTGCCTGTATCCGAAAAATTGAGGGAGGGAAGACTACGATGATTTGGGCTTGTCCTTAAGCGACAACCGTCAGATGCGGTCAGGAGGGTAGAGTCGATTACAATCGACGGTTCCAGAAGGAGAAGACGACTAAGGCGAAAGTGGGAAGACTGCTTGAGATCTGATTTGAAGTATTTAGCCCTTACCGAGGACATGACCTCTGATAGGAAAGTATGGAGACTTAAGACCAGGGTAGCCGAGTAGTGCGGGTCACAGCCATAGGGTGTAACATCTATATCTTCTTTTTAATGCTTTCGTAGTAACTTCCATTACTTCTACTTTATATACGTTTCTGTCATTGGAATTTATAAAGGCTTAGAACTAGGGTAGTGGAGTAGTGTGGCCTTAGTTTAGATGTTAACCCTTTTGACTTTATTCCTTTTCGTAGTTTGCTATCGTTGACTTCTGTGTATCCTTCTCTTCAGGTTTCCACTTTTTAAATTTAGTCGGGTCTCTTTCTATATGCAGAGATTTTTATGCAGGGATTTATTTGCAGGGATTACTCCCCATTACAGACGAGCATATGAAGACTGTATATGAAGACTGTTCAACTATTTATTTATTTATTTATACACGCATTGCATTTTATCTTTATTTTTAATTTTCTGACTACCAGAGGTCTTCCACGGAAGTTGCTCTCAACATGGAGTTGGTGGTAGCCTACTACCCTACCTCTCCCTTATCCCATTGCATATGAGAATAGGGTTTTGTTGTTGTTGTTGTTATCTTTTTTATTAGTAGTAGTATGGAGTGAATATAATACAATGTTTGTTTGAAATACTTAATCATTTGACAATAAATATTTATATACATTTATAGACGTCATACTCAA